CTGAAATCCCATAAACTTTGTCAATTTTTCCATAGGAGACAGATTTTCTCTCATTGGCACTTTCACATGGGATTTCATTTTGTTGTGGTTGTTTTTTATTTATTTTTCTTTTCTTAAATTGAGTTTATTGAGATGGCATTAATTAAATTATACAGGTGTCAGGAATACAATTCTACAACATGTCATCTGTATTGTATACCCTTCCCTTCTTGCAGCGAAAGCCCTTTTGTATTTGGATATGCTTTCTTCCTGTTTGATTGTATTATTATCCACTTTTTTCTTCTTAAATTGAGTTTTCTACTATAAAATAATGTGTGCTATGCCCAAACAGCTCTTTACCATGAACACATGGCTGTTATGATAACACTTTATGTTTGTAGTAGAGTGTACAATATACAAACATGTTTTGTGTATGCACAACATCTAGTTTTATCACAACTCCCCTCGGACATAAGAGGTTTATTGTAATTGTTGAGCAGATGAGGTTCTGCAGCAGTGAGATGTCTTGTCTTGGTTACCCACGATGGTGAATAGTCAGAACTCAAATCCAGGCCTGAGTCCTCTCCTTCAGCTCTGAAGCCTGTAGAACTGTCAGAATCTTTTGAATCCAAAGATCATGTGATATTTCTGGATAGTCAGAAATGAGTATGCTTGTCGATGTAGATCCTTCTTAGTTTTGCATTTTGGATGGAATTGTGAAACACTCATCATTATTTGGGATGAAAAGTAATGTCATCTTTGTGAAGCAATTCAGTGTTGTCCACTTTGAAGAAGAATGTGCCTTTAAAGCAGCGGTCGCCAACCGGTGGTTCGTGGACCACTGGTGGTCCGTGAGGTCCGAAAGGTTGGTGACCGCTGCTTTAAAGGATAGCTAGTCTTGCCTCTGAAATTACCTTATGTTACCTTTTACCTGAGGCTTCTGGGTAATTCTTCAAGTCCCATTATTATAAAAAATGACAAGCATCTATGACTTTAGTGCAGAGGGTGGCGTTGGGCGAGGGCCCTCTGTGGCGAGCTCGCTGTTAGGGTTATAGAAAAGCTTGGACCGGCCTTCCTGATGTTCAACCCCAGAAGGCTCTCCCTAATAAGTCAGCCAGAGGGCCCACAGCTCAAGGCCCCTTAAAGCAGGATCAGACATCTATTTTCAACTTTGCCCCAGGCTCTTTATATCGAAGAACTTGGAGAAACCATGCGTTTTCACTTAGGAAGAACAGAAGAGACCAGTGCTTGGGAAGGACAGTTGCTGATGGCTCAGTTTTAGTAGTAAATTGTGCATTACTTTATTCAGCCCTAATTTCAAGTGCCATCTTACAAATGGATGGGTGGGATGGATCCTAAGGCTCCTAGGCCTCTCTCTGGTGGATGGGAGTTGGGTTCCATAGATGGCTTTAGTGGTGTTCTATTGCATATTCATTTAAATTTTCTAGAATATGTAAGAAACCATGTTTTATTATCTTGCCATCTTGAATTTTCCATACATTAATGTTGTAACAGAAATTGTATGTAATTGGGATAACAAAATGACAGGTCATTTAAAAGGAATAAAGATACACAAATAAGTGAAATTCAAACATCATCCCAGGAAGTGCTGGGTGGAAATCTATTACAAGGTAAGCATAGCCTAGGAAGATTTTTATAGTAACGTTATAAACTTAAACAGCTATTTGGAAGTTTTTTAAACCCCTCCAATTATAAGTGGCTATCCCTCTACCTTCTAATGCTTCTAATTTTATGCTATGCTACCTTCTTATCTCTTGTTAAGCATAGAGATAAATATCATCATAGAATTTTGATTAAATGCTACAGTGTAAAAGAAAAATAACTGACAATTCAGGTGAACAAAAGTCAAACTCATTAAATATACAGAGAAAAGTCCTTTGACTTAATTTTTCACTTTTAACTAACTTGATTGGAATGTTATAATTGCATCCTAAAGTATATATAGGAACTATTCCCTAAAGTTTCAAAAAGACAATAAAAATTTAAAAGACATTAGAGTCAAACAGAAACAATAAGATTATAAAAACAGATCCAGAGACAGAGAAGCATCAATCAGACTGTCAAACCTCAGAGGGAAGGTAGGGGAGGGTGGGGGTCAGGGGGAGAGATCAACCAAAGGACTTGTATGCATGCATATAAGCCTAACCAATGGTCACAGACACCAGGGGGGTGAGGGCATGAGTGGGAGGGTGGTGGTGGGGAATGGGGCGATAAGGACACATATATAATACCTTAATCAATAAAGAAATATATATATATACATATAATTTAAATTGGAAAAAAAAGATTGCAACAGAAATATTCAGGTTGAAACCTTTACAAAGATGCTGATTTAGTAACACTCATGGTGAACATATACTTTCAAGACTTGTGTAGCATTTTTAAAAAACTTTATTATGATCTCTTTTAGGAATCACTACTTTCTGGAGTCCGCTCACGTTCTTATTCTTGCTCATCACCCAAAATTTCTTTAGGAAAATCTCGGTTGGTGCGTGATTTTACAGTGTGCAATGCAAGTGAAGGTGAGCATTATTTATCACGCGTCTTCGAAAGCATTCTATTCCAGGGCAGAGTTTTAGTAAAAGTACATAAAATATACAAGGGCAACAGGCAAGAGTTTATTTTTACAATTGATTTTTCTAAGTTTAGCAAAGTCTTTTTTTTTTCATTAGATAGCAGAGAAGTTAAAAATCTGATTTTGATGAAATTAAAAATTTGTACACATATCTCTGTTGATTCTTTGAATAAAATGTAGTCCTCAAATTGTGTAAACTATAATTTATTCTAGGTTCATTATTGTGAGGGCTTTAGAGGATTTTATTTAAGTATAAAAATTACTCTTCCTCTATATATAAATTGCTGAAATAATCTAACTCCTCAGAGGCAAACCATTACAAAATAGATTTTCTTTCATTATTTAGCAAGGGATTTTAGGGAGATGAAATAAGAGAACATATTTGAAACATGAGTAAATGTATCTTAGGTTTTGTGTGGCAATGTAAGCATTCAGAAATGTAACTTTTATGCAATGACATTTTATTTATTTATTTATTTATTTTTTTAAATATATTTTATTGATTTTTTACAGAGAGGAAGGGAGAGAGATAGAGAGTTAGAAACATCGATGGGAGAGAAACATCGATCAGCCGCCTCCTGCACATCTCCCACTGGGGATGTGCCCGCAACCCAGGTACATGCCCTTGACCGGAATCGAACCTGGGACCTTTCAGTCCGCAGGCCGATGCTCTATCCACTGAGCCAAACCGGTTTCGGCTGCAATGACATTTTAATTTAAATATAGTATACTTATAGAAAAGGGTGTAAATTATAAGCATATACAGTGGGGCCTTGACTTATGAGTGTCCCGACTAACGAGTTTTTTGAGATAGCAGCTGTCTCTCCCCCGATTTTTTGCATTGAGTTGACAGAGTAATTTGACTTAATGAGCTCCTTAAGGAACTCCTTAATGAGCTCGGTCTCGGAACGAATTAAATTTGTAAGTCAAGGCCCCACTGTAGTTTGATGAACTTTTATTAAAAGTGAATTCAGATAAAGAAATAGAGCAATTACAGGTAACTCAGAGCTGCCCTGGTAGCCCCTCTCAGTGACTGTCCCCATTTTCAACTTGACTTTGAAATGTAATTATTTCATACTTCTGTACATAATATATTATGTAAAAATTGCATTTCAAGACATATTTGGAAGTGTTCATGCTACTCTGTAATATATAGCATTATAATAAAAATTTTTGTCAGTGTATTAGATAATGATTTTTTGGGTTATCCTTAAGAATCTTAAAAGATTCAGAAAACAAGAGATGTGCTTAAGTACTCGCAACTTCTCAGTGTAGAATATTTAAAATAGGATTTGTTTTACACCTTTCCTTTTAAAATTCTTTATTACATTGCTATTTTGCATTTTATGCTATGTAGAATAGTATTGTAAGCATAATCTTTGTGCTTGGAGCTCCCATCCTAAACACGGCCTTAGGTATGGAAGATATTCAATAAATATTTGTTGAACAAATATGGTAGTCAAGATACTTCAAATACAAAACAAGTGTTACTAGGTGTGCCCCCTGCATGCCCTCCC